TCACTGTCAGGTCAGGTCTTGGTTTGGATTGTAGCCTAGCCATTTGTACTTAGAGTCATACTTGCACTCCCAATTCCTTTCCCACATATCCTTTTTTGAAAGGTATTATATCTATTCTTATATAAATTGGTCTACTGCTTACAAGGCCCCTCTTTGAACGAGTTCCTGCTCTCTCAAAGGCTCTGATCTTAATGCCCTGCATCCTCTTTCTTCTCTTCTTTGGAGGAACTTTTGCTCAAAAGGGCTTTCAACAGTCTCCATTTTTTTCAAACATATGTCATATGGCAGTCTTCAACTTGCAAGAAGTTCTATATAGTGTTTCCTCACGTTGTAACATGCTGCATTATGTCTTCATGACGCAACTTAAGCTTCTTTAGCTTCGCACATCCACTGTACGCTCATAGAGCTGGCTTTTTCCCCAAACAGTGTGGACACACTAGGGGTTCTTACGGTAGGAGAAAAGCAGGTGTGCTAAGATATGTGTGCCGCGCGGCCGTGTCCGGCTAATTCGTTGCTATTTACAGTACATTCATGCCTCTCGACATCGTCAATGTGCATTTCGACTGCGCAGGCTCACAAAGTCTGGGTGCCCCGGGCGGGTGCTTCTAACGACTGCGCTCTCGTTGTGGTGTCGTGCGCATTTCCGCACATGATGGCCACTTTTCGTGGCAGGTGCAAGGGAAACCTCGTGTTTTTGTGCTTCAAAGTTTCGTGGCAGGCACAGCACTTTGGACATGGTGATGACGAGTGCAGATTTCGTGGCAGGTACAGCACTTTGTGAACCTCGAAGTGCAGATTTCGTGGCAGGCGCAGCGCTTGGTGAACCTCGAAGTGCAGATTTCGTGGCAGGCGCAGCACTTTACCTCAAAGTGCAGATTTCGTGGCAGCCACAGCCCTTTGTGAACCTCGAAGTACTGTGTGAACCTCGGCGGAGGCGCAGCACTTTGTGCCTCTCTCACTCTCACTGTCACCCTCACTCTCCCTCACACACACGCTCACACTCACACTCACTCTTCACTCACTCTCACATTCACACTAATACTCACTCACACTCACATTCACTCTTCACTCACACTCACAATTCACACGCACACTCGCTCACTCACATTCACACTCACACTCACTCATTCACACTCACACTCACTCATTCACACTCGCACTCACACTCACACTCACTCTCACTCTCCCACTCCCACTCACACTCACACTCCCTCTCTCACCCACACTCACACTCACTCACTCTCATCCACACTCACTCTCACTCTCACTCTCCCTCTCCCTCTCCCTCTCCCTCTCCCTCTCCCTCTCCCTCTCCCTCTCCCTCTCCCTCTCCCTCTCCCTCTCCCTCTCCCTCTCCCTCTCCCTCTCCCTTTCTCTCTGGACCCCAGTGCGTCTAGATCTCTAGACTTTCCGCTTATAGCCTATTATAGACCTCACGCACGCTGTTTGGGGTCTCTTGCCGGGATAATCTTTGGTAGCCTAAATTCAATCCCTTCGGAAACCGCTAAGCCGGCTTTCTTGAAGCCACACTCTGTGCTCCATACTCAAATTGCGGTCTTTTGCATGACTTGTAGTTACTATAAGTATTGGTTTGACTACTTTAAAGACATTCACAATCCTATACAGTATACATTTCCAGTTTTCACTCAAACTGTACACTTCACCTCATAGTCTCCTACCTGTTTCCCCGTAGACTCTGGACCCGAGACTCACAGCAATCACTTTACAACGCAACAATATTCTGGTCTATCCCGCCCTACGCTTCTCTCAGCTTGTGCCTTTAGGTCACTTTTGGTGGTTTTTGAATGGTGTGCACATGTTTGAATTCAATTCTCTAATGGACTGCCTTGGGTAGACCTCGAAAGCGACTCCTGTTGTTGAGACAAGGAACGCCTTTGTTCAAGTGTGCTTGATGGGTTTTGTCGAAAAGACATAGGCAAGTGCGAGGAGGCATCAAGATGAATTCGAACAGGCTTCATGGGTTCTGCTACCTCTTTTTGAGGGTGCCCCCTCACAAACACACTCACACAAGCGCAATACCGCTTGAAGGTGTTCCAACGCTGCGAACTTCCTGTTACAGTAAAAACAAAATAGGCAACATTTTGGGACAGCCACAAACCCTGAGGTGTATCCTGTTTGGCAGAGTCAGACAGGCCTGGATTGCACATCAATCTACATTTGCTTTTCTCTTCGGTTCTTCTTCTTCCCAGTCATTTTTCTAGTTGCATGGTTACTTCTGTCATCTGAGGATGATTGCCGGAGAGCTTCTTTTTGCCACAAACAGTGGCATGGCAAGGGACTTAACTGCTCCACGCCCCGACAATTTTGAGCACTCTACGCTTGTTGCGTGCAGACGACAAACCTCTGAGGTCATCCTTAAGCAAGTTTTGCTGGATGATGACATGTTCATAATTGGAGTGCTGGACAAGGAGTCAAAATGAGCCAAACCATTGTGGACTTTGACGGACTTTGACACTGCTTCGCTCAAAAGGATCGCGGAGATTGTGACCTTGTCCGACGCCTCACAGCTTGGCTGGATGCTGCGGTTCGGTACCAAGACCATCCGTTGTAAGTGGTTCACCCTGTCCATAGTCATAGGCATCGTAAGAGCGATGGCCTCCAACCTAGAAGCGATGGCCTCCATCGGAAAAGCAATGGCCTCCAAGCTAGAAGCGAGGCTTAGACAAATGACCTTTTGCTTGGTAATTGTACAGTTGACCTTTTGCTCAGGTGACAACCCTCGCTGCAGAATTTTTCTACTCTGCTCCGTTGCGTCGACAGGCGGACACCCTAATGGCCTCAGCAAAAAAACCTGAAGCCTTTGGTACTCGTACAAACCTGCACAACCATGGTATGGAACCTTGTACCAATGACTCGCAAAAGGATCGGAACACTTGCCTTGGATGAAATCAGATCCGTCGAAATTTAGCACTTCAGATTGCCCCAAAGGCCAGATCCCGGACAAAAGAACTTTCAACCTGCAAGGCATGTCTATATAATATATATAAACCCTGAGATCACCCCAGCTAACAACTAGGAATATCCGGCGAATTGTGATTTGACAATACAAAACTGCACAGTGTCATACAAACATTTGAAGAAACTGTAGAGTGGGTGCACTGCTCCAAGGTGGCAGATGGCATCGACTATCCTGACATGACTCAGCGCTAGTGTGCGAATCCAGTTGAGTTGACCGAACTTGACCGCAACTCCATAGCACCCTCAGTTCTGTCAGCCTTGTGAGTGTGTGTGTGTGCACTTCGTCCAGGTATTTGCAGAAATGAGCTGTAAAAGTGATGATGGACCGATCATTGTTTGAATGATACTGCCGCATGGTAAGTGTGGATTCTCGCTCGGATTAGAAGGCGTGGTAGATCATGCTATAGAAAGCCCAGAGCTGAATCTACTAAAACAACACATTATACAAATGACTACAGTTGTACTTTGCTTTAATGACATGCATACAAAAACACACAAGCGTCGTGAACCTCATTCAAGGCTACTGTAGGTCTCAGCGTATGCCAAGCTTTTTCAGGCTGGCATGGATGCACCAACCGAACACTTCTTGCAGCCAATCCTCACCTACAGCCTACTCCTGGCACAGGGGGCCAACAGATACTCTTGCCTTTGTGTGGAATGGGGGTGGGGTGGGGTGCGTACCTTTCTTCACTCACAAGCTAAAAGATACTGAACGGATCAGACAATTCTTCCAAACCAAGGAAGGCCGATGTCCTCTGAGATTTTCGATGAATTTCAATTCGATACCGATAAGGCTTTCCTAGTCCAGCCAGGGTATTCAGGGTATTCTGTAGTGACTTGTAGTGTGTGCATTAGATTAGAGTGGCATTTTAGGTTTGTCACAACCAAAGTAAAACAGGCACAGGACATGAATAGGATCGCATGACTACAAAGAAAGGAATGGGCATCCCAGGTAAATGCATAGGAATGCAAGTCAGTGTAATGAAATCCTGAAACTGACCACGGGGTGCGTTGCAGGACAAAAAAACAGGAAAACTGAAATGAGTTGGGCATGACTAGGGACCGATATACTGTAACAGTAGTACAGTGTAATTCTTTAGAGCAAGTCGCAGTTGTGCTGACAGCTCAGCAGCAGTAAAGAAAGCCCGATGCATCTCTACATAAGACACGCCACTCAGGCGGTTCTTGCTGATGAATAGTGTGTTTCCTGTCTTACAAAGCCTTCCACACTTCACAATTGTATGCGGCTGGCAGAATGTGCTATTCTGCAGGGAATGCCTGAATGGCATCCAGTTCCAAAGCCAAAAGCAAGAGATCTTGCACAGCAAGATGAGCAACACAATGTGTTGCTGGCAGCTCGCTCTCGTCCCAGTTGTTTTAGCTTGGAGTTTCTATCGATGCTTTAGGGGCGGGGATTGTGCGAGACAATGCCGTGCGCTTGCCACAATACTTCTGGAAGAGACTGGGCAGGATAGGAAGCGCGCCGACTGCTCTTGGTATCCTTTCATTTGGTTTGGAGGATGGACTTGCAAGCCTTGAATGCAGCAGTTGCTCATAGCTTGACCTCAGCAACTTATTGAAGTCAGAAAGAGTACTACCCACTCTGAATTGCGAGCGTTCGGATATCAGCCCGATCCGACAAGTTTAGATTATATAGATATAGCGGGCAGTGGGCTGGCCAGAATGATCCCATGTACGTTCAATTTGCTCCAGTTGCCCAAACATTTGCACCGCACATGCGTGTTCGACTTTACCAGGCGGCTTTGAAGTTTTAAAGCTTAAGCTTTGGGCAGATGATGGGATAACAGCACATGTGTAAACACCCGCAGCTCTGTCCAGTCTCAGCCTTTGTTTCAAGTTCATAAGTTCCGCAATATCTCCTCAGCTTGGCAGTTGACAGCTGGCTCAGCCTCGTGTCAAAACAGAGTGTGACCTGTTTCAGGAACTTGTTTCGAACATGAGGCAGTTGCAGGACCACCTTCCGTGCCCCACGCATTTTGACTGACTCAACGATAGCTGAGGCTTTGCCCAACCACGGTTGGTGGAGTGCAGCGCTACCGTCGCGAAATTTGTGCAGAGTTGGCTGATGCTTTTGCCGAAAGTGCCAGCGCCTAATCTCATGAAAGAACCTTTTCCACACTGGATTTGTGATTCGTTTGCTGAGTACGACACGTCGTGTGCATGAAAGAACAGGTTTCACGGGCTGACAAGGCCAGGTCTTGCCTTTTGCACCGGTACAAGTTTCTTTGCCACTAGGAACAAGGACGCTACTGGGAACAAAGGGCATCGCTACTAGGAGCAAGGACGCTACTAGGGGCTCCTTACTATATACTAGGAGCAAGAAGCTACTAGGAGCTTTTGGTTCTTGGAGGTGAGCGCCGCGAAGGCCGTTTCAGGGTTCGCAGCACAACTGGAAAAGGCCAGCCCGTGGGATTGTAGAAATTGATGAATATTATAGGTTATGGTATCATTGGTTTGCCAAAGAGAATGAGCTGAGGCTTTACTGAATACAAGCAAATTCCTGTATTCCAACTTGGGCAAGGAAATGTGATGCAACAAGGAATCAAAAGGAATCAACTTTATCGAAACAGCAGAGTTGCTGTGGGCCCTTCTTGTGACTGTACCTGTGAGGGGTGTGTTGCATCTCTGGTTGCTTCCGGCTGTTTTGAGTGTGCTGGGTTGCTTGAACCGTTTGGTATCGCGTGTCTTTGGCTGTCTCTAGTTAGTTGTTTCTGGCGTTTACCGAGGAAAGACCTCTGCGACGCGTGCAACAAAAGAAACAAAAGATTGCGTTTCTTCCGTGTTCAGGTCTCACCTGGGTCAAGCGCTAATCCGGGCCTGTGATCGGACAGGGGTTCTCAATTCTTGCATCGAAAAGATCCTGGCCCGAGATGTCCTTCATCTCTGTTTGTCTCCCTTGGCTCTTTTGGAAGCCGGGGTCATTCTGCTAAGATGACTTTGTTTCCCGCGCCTCCCTTTGTCTCCCATGGCTCTTCTGGATGCTTGGGCTGAGATGATTCCGCTTTGTCTCCCTTTGTTCCCCAGCATTGGCTTGCAAAGACTTGTATCCCCTCTGTCTCCCACTTGTTTTCTCCCTGTTTGTTTCAGAACAGGTGCTCCTGGGAGATGTGTTTCATGCAAAAAAGGATGCACAAACACTGTGTTTTACAGTGATTTCTTGCAAAGACCTCTCCAAAATTGAGGTTTTGAGCTATTTTTAGATAAATTTTGTGAGATCCAAGCCTATCACACTTTAGAGGGAATACAAAAAAACGAAAAAAAAAAACAAAAAAACAAAAAACAATGTTTGAGACAAAATGGGAACACTATTGGTTTTTGGATGTTGGCTGCATTTTGTCTCAAACATTGTTTTTTTTGTGTTTTTTTTTGTTTTTTTGTTTATTGTTTTTTTTTGTTGTTTTGGTATTCCCTCTAAAGTGTGATAGGCGTGGATCTCACAAAATTGATCTAAACAACCTCAATTTTGGAGAGGTTTTTGCAAGAAATCACTGTAAAACACAGTGTTTTTGCATCATGTTTTGCACACCACAGCCCACTAGATGTAGCTGCAAATGGCAACTGACATAGTATTTGGTACAACTTTTTCACAATATCAAGTGTAAGCTTCTAAAGGCTGAGCCTACATTGGCTGAGCACACTCACACCAAGCCTACACTGGCCAAACCTACACAAACAATGCCTATAGTGGCAGCATATATTTGCTTGAAATATAGTGTATTTTAGATACTTTTGAGATGACAGCACCATAACAGCACACTAGTTTGTGCAAGTCTGTGTTGCACAAAGAATTACAAATTATGAACTCCTGAGTGGAGAACTAATGCACAGACAACTGTGACTACAGCTGTACAAAACTCTTCAATTCATTTCCAGGCCAGCATCCTGTAGCTTTCTCTTCTTACAGCTGGACTCAGAAGCAAGTGGTGGAGGTGATGTCAGGATCTCCAAAGCATTGTCTCTATGAGCTTCTGGATCTTCATTTGGAATGTTGAAGTGCAGCCTCCATTTGTACACTTGCAATGCCCAGTTGGTTGGTGCACCATGTTCAAACACTACAACTTGAGAATCTTCATCACCATCCAGAATCACATCATCGACATGGTAAGGAGTAGCTGTAGTAGTAGTTGAAGTGTTCACACATGCACTGTGGACGTTTGCCATGGCTTCAACATACAATGATGTAAGAAAATAATATATATAGAGTAAAGAGTTTATTTGTTTTTGTTAAGCTTGAATTCAAATTCTTGATTTCCAACATTGAATTCAACAGCTTGAATTAATGTTTTTGATTTCCAAATTTGAAGTCAACAGCTTGAATTCAAATTGTTGATTTTAAAATGTGAATTCAACATTCAAATGATTGATTTCCACATTTGAAATCAACAGCCTGAATTCAAATTCTTGTATGCTAGAGTTTTGCTTCGATACATACATATATTTCAATATGTTTTGTTACCCCAAAACTTATTCAACCTATATGTAGTTGAGCCAATATTTTGTTGTATATGTAGACTGAAATTATATTAGAATGAGCCCGTAAGGGCATAATGCTAAGCCTTTAAAGGCTGTTTGTTTGAGCTTGTACAAGCTATTGATGAGACAAGCTTGCAAAAGCTAATGCAAAGAACTCTTTTTACAGCTCAGCCTTCTGCATACAGTTCTCATTGTCCCAAGTACTTGCTGTAAACAGCCTTGCCTTCTTTGAGGTATCATTGACATATATGTTTATCTTGATATATATATATAATATTTATTTAATAACTATATCATCAAACTCAAACTGATAATTTTTCATTATTGGTATTACACATTGACAGGCAAAGGGAGATAGGGCTGTTATTTGTTGTTGTCATTGACATTGGACATGGAGACTGGGCACAGACAGATCATTTGTGTTTCGCCTAGTTCTCAGAGCAGTTTTTGAAAATTTGCACGGTATTTACAGTGTTTTCTAAGGATTTTGAGCTAGTGTGTGCTCTCCCAAGCACACCCACCCTCTTTTGTTTCCCCACTGGCAACCTGTCACGAGAGGATACCGCCTTTGTCTCTTTGTCTGACTCTACGGTTCATGACTGGCAACCTGTCACAACATGATTTCCCCACTTACGACATGACTTCCCCACTTGTCTCCCCACTCTAATTAGCAACCTGCCACGACATGCTTATTCACTTGTCACTTGTGTGCCTTTGTCACGACATGACTTCCCAACTTCACCACATGATTTCCAGACTGGTCTTCATGCTTGCTCGCCAACGGAAACCTGTTTCAATTTTCCCAATTGTCTCCTTTCTTGTTTCTTTGCTGCAACCCGTTGCGACATTGTTTCCCCACTCCCTTCTCGTCTGCCCACTGGCAGGTTGTCACAATATCATTTCCCCTTTGTCTCTTCACTTGTCTCCCGTCTTGTCTACTCACTGGCAACCCTGGGTCGGATTCCCTAAATTCTTCTCGTGAAGCCATGAAAGCTGGATGATGATAGTGTGCGCCTGGTGGCTCGGTGAACCTTCGCTTGTCTTTATCTCATGCAAGGCAACGGTATGCTTCCGAAAACGCGGTTCCAACGTGCTCAGAATGATTTTCTGAATGCTTTTTGGAGGGCCAAGTTTTGACTTTGGAAACACAAGATCCCTTGCGACATGCAACCTCATGTTTAAAAGCACTCGCTTGCAGTTGCTGAAATAACAAATGTACTTCAAAAAAGTCAATCCGTTTGCTTTTGAAAAGATAAGATAGATTGTATAATTACTTTTGTTTGTGTATGCCATGGCAGTTGAAAGCAAACCAAAACTGAACAATTGTGTAAATTTTGCATGAGCCCCTGGTTGAGGCAGATCAACAACAGCGTTCCGCTGAGGATCCGTGTCAGAATGATCAAGTTGACCTTCAAGATAAAATTGACAGGACAATGCTGTGTGCAGCCTTCTCGCCAGCTTGAAGGTGCAGAGTGCCCAATTGCTTTTCCCGAATTTGGTTCCGAATGTGCAGGCCGCCGTCCAGACGCTGCCTACTTTTGACGGTTCTGGTAGCCTGGCCGGGAACTTGGATGTTTTTGTTTTGGTCCTCGAGTTTTCATTAATTCTTTTTCCTAGAGGTTCGTCTTGTGGTTTCCGTGGTTTCTGCTTGCAAATCGAAAGGATTGCATAGCAGGTCAGGGCCCTTGCAGATCTTGCTGCGGTGTGCTATCGCCGCAAGCGCGGTGAGGCGGGTGCCGCCTACGAGAAGTGCACTATTGTTTTTTGTGAATTCCTTTCGCCACAAGGAACTTTCAGTCAATGAGGACGTGGTCGGTATTCCGTTGATCCAAAGCTTTTGCTCCAAAGGCATCGTTCCACCAGGGCCTAGGGGCTAGATGATTGCGCATACACCTGTTCAGGCCCTTTGGCAGAACGCGATCTCCTTATGAAGAGTTGTATGAAGCATGAAAGTCATACGCAATGCGCTTTCTTAATCATTGCTGAGGTGCTGCTGTGGCCCAAGCCTATTTGGAGGCCAACTCTCGGATGCAACCTTTGACCTGCGAACAAAGAAAGATAACTTTTTTGATCTCTTCATATCACCCTTCTGCTCTAGGTGATTACTGCAACGCGGCTATGGCCACCTTTGGCAGATGCCAACAAGCACTACAGCGATGAACCCACCTCAAAGGAATGGCAAGACTAGCTTCCACAAAATAGAGATAGCCGCAGAAAGAAACCAAGCTGGAGTGCAACTGAGGCCGCTAGGTTTGTTGATCAGTTGCAAGAAGAAGTAGAGAAGGAGGAAAGGGCCAGCTTCCTGGTAACGAAGTTGCGAGAGGCGTGGGATGTCAGTCTGGATCAAACTAAGGAGCCCGGACAAACTGCTCCGAAGATGCACCGCGGAAAGGTCTGGACACAGCTGGTCTTCACTTTGGACTTGCAGGGCTTCCGCTTTGCAGGGCTCCAGCCCAGCTGAAGAACTGCTCACGTCCACCCTCGACTTTTGGGCAACAGCTTTGCAGCCTCGAAGCCGCACAAACAGATCAGAGGAGATTGGCAATGATAGAGCTTTGGAAAACGCATCGGATTCAATTTGGCTTTGTGGCAAGGCAATGCCGGCGGGAAATCGAAGATGAAGGCAAATACACTTACGCTTGCAGACCAACACAGACGAAACAGCGGTTGCATCGCAGGTGATCTAGAGCCACCGGAAGGTGACTTGGTTGCTTTCACAGGCTGGTGTTATTTATTTTTGGTAGGAGTATCTGATCAGCTCCTTTTTCGTGAGGAGCATCTCTTGCGGAGTTCAAGACAGGGTCGCTGACATTACGCCCTCAGCTCGGCGGGGTTGTCGCGAGCCCCGCAAGCATCTGATTGGATCTGATTGGTGTTGAGGCCTTGCCATCATCAGATTGTGGAAGCACGTCTTCAAGCACTTTGCCCAGGCCGGATGTCGTTGAATCACATCTTCACATCTCACATTAGCTCTCTCATTTCTGCACATCTCACATTTGTGAGTATCACATCTAATTATATAACTATATATTCTTTATATTAAGGGCTGCCGCCCCTGCCGCCGACCCCGGATTCTCAGGTCCGGCTTTTCCTCCACTGGTTGGCATTGCGAGGGTTTTTCGAACAGGGGTTTCAGTCGTCCTTTTAAAGGTTGCTCTTCTGGAATCGTCGTTTCTTTCCGGTGTCGAGGTCCGTGCCCGTGCGGAGCGTTTCATTGCCTGCTCTCTGGATTGTTTGCTAGCATTTTCCACCATTAACCAGCCTCCCAAAAAGCATCTGAAACCACCCCTTCGCCACGGCTTTAACCCATTGAGTTCAGCTCCAAACGAGCCCCAATTCCTCGGACGTTCGGTGTCAAACGGACGCTCTGGATTCCTATAGAAAAAAGACAATTTGCTAGCATTTTCCACCACTAACCAGCCTCCCAAACAGCATCTGAAACCACCCCTTCGCCACGGCTTTAACCCATTGAGTTCAGCTCCAAACGAGCCCCAATTCCTCGGACGTTCGGTGTCAAACGGACGCTCTGGATCCCTATAGAAAAAATAGAAAAAAGACAATTTGCTAGCATTTTCCACCACTAACCAGCCTCCCAAAAAGCATTTGAAACCACCCCTTCGCCACGGCTTTAACCCATTGAGTTCTGCTCCAAACGAGCCCCAATTCCTCGGACGTTCGGTGTCAAACGGACGCTCTGGATCCCTAGAAAAAAAACAATTTGCTAGCATTTTCCACCACTAACCAACCTCCCAAAAAGCTTCCACCAACAGCCTGCCAAAAGCTTTCCAGCCTCCCAAAAGCATCTGAAACCACCCCTTCGCCACGGCTTTAACCCATTGAGTTCTGCTCCAAACGATTGAGTTCTGGCGGATCTATCATTATTCCCTGGCGCGCTCCCCCTTGCGTCGGCCGGGGTCGGCGGATATTCCTTATATTAGCTTATAGCTCTCACATTTTCGCATCTCACATCCGGATTTGTACATCCTCTCTCTTCTCTCACATCTTCACATCTGCTCTCTTGTGGCGCGTGGCGGACGAGACGCCGCGACGAATGTCGATAATGTCGAGCGCCCGAACCTGTGATTAAATGCGCATTACACAGGTCCTTGCGCAACCCTTTGCGACGATCGTGAAACTCATATCCTTTACGCCCACGGCCCTCTGAGAGGATCGTACGCGTCAAGCGCAAGAAGTTGAGAAAAAAGCTAACTTTTGGATGCTCCAGGGTCTTTGTGACCCCAAAGGTCTCTTGCATGCAAAAGTGCAACAAAAGCTTGTAAATCTGCCATAGTGGAGGTTGCCAAAGTGTGAAGCTGTAGTCGCAAATGATGATGTGTTGCCAAAGTGTTAGACGAAAGTGAAGGGTGTGTGTTGCCAGACCAGAGTGTGAAATTGTCGTTGAAGATGAAGGTGCGTGTCCCCAAAGTGTGAAATTGTGAGGGCTGAAACTGTCATCTTGCTTGGGCCGGGTTTCACGCGGGGTCAGCGGCTGTATTGGTTGCTGAGCCAAAAAACAGAGTGAATGTCGTGCACTGCATGCTGCAGCTGTTTGACTGCTTTCACATCCACTTTACCTTTACCACCTTTACTTCTGTGGACAGCTCCCAGCACCCACATTCTTTATTGAACAAACCTTCTTATTAACACACCGTCTTGCATCTTCTTGCTACTGTTGATGGACGACATCCCCTATCGTTGTGTGGGCAAAGTTCTTGCCCTCGTTCTCCCTCTTCAACAGTGGGATCACGGTACAAAAGTTGCATGCCCAAAATCCAGGATTTTGACCATCAACTGTATCATCCCTTTTCGCGCTCGGGCCGTCTGTCGTTTGCATTCTTTTTGCTCGTTTTTTTTCATGGCAGTATGAGCTTGGACGAGGGTGGGGTTGGGATAACTAATGAGGTTCTGAGGTTCGTTTGGAAGTGTTTCAACGAGATGTTACGGGCATCTTCACAAAAAAGACCAGGGCAAATTTCGTTATTGCCCTCCTGTGCAAGTCTGGACACTATTTAGGGTCTTCCGCAAAAAATGTAAAGACAACTGTGTGAATTTTTCCTGTTGTTGGTATGTTGTGTACAGCCGAGTTCTGTCCATGGTATATTCTGCTGCCATTTGGGTTTACAGCGCCCTTGAGCTTTCCGCGCTTACGCGACGTGAAAACGCCGTTGGACGTCGCGGTCGGGACCAATTTCATATTGGTAGCGGAGCAGGTTCGGGTTCCGTCCCACTGCATCCATTCACCCGTAAATCCGCCGATCCAGGATTCGCTCGTGCATTCGCGCCGAGAATTTGCAACCAAGTGTTCTTGAAATTGCCCGTTGAGGCCTGACAGACAGGAAGTGTTGGTCGCAGGACTTCGCTTTAATCCCGACAAGAATTCAGCAGGCGGTACTCATTTGGAGGCCAAATCTGGTTCGTACATCTACTATGGTGATGCCGCATCATTCCATGATTGGGAGTTTCGCACTCGCCTTCGCATTCGCTTGTGGAAGGAAGGCAACAAGACGAAGGTCAGCTCCCGGAAAAGCACCCTGTCGGCAACACCAAAGAAGGGTGACACGCCCAATGGAGGTACTGAGGAGGACGCTGAGCTCCCAGGTTTCCCTCCTGTCGAACCAGAAGATGAGGAAGAAGAGGAAGTAATCATCACCAAGCCAGACATCAGCACACTCGTGAACAAGATCCTCGAAGTTTCTCGTGGAGATGCCTTTTTGCTCACCAGGGACGTCGGTCTTGATGCCCTGACCAGTCAGGAGGGGTTGGAAGACTTATTGCAAAAGAGGAAAGCTTTCGTATTCCCACGTGCCAATGATGAGGAGGCGAAGGAGTTGGTCCGTGCTGGCCAGAAGCACGGAGGCCCTTTGTCACGCCAAGCTGGAGAGTCCATGCTGTCGTACACCATGGACGCAAGCGTTGGTGGTCCGTGCTGCAGGAATTGGATTCGACCATGATGCTGAGTGACAGTCTTCGTGCCGAACTGTTGCTCGAGTTGTCTAGTTTGTCATGTCAGGAGATCCTTGTGACCAAAGCATGTGCCGTCCCCAAGAACTTCGAAGGATATTGCAAGGTTTCATTGACCATTATTCAGGAGTTCACCGGCAAAACATGGCAAAGCCGCTCTTCACCTATGTCTGGGAAGGGCAAGAGCTAGTCGAACCATTCAGGAAAAGGCAAATCATTTCCGTCTGCATATTATGTCTCATACCCTGAAGTGGATGAGCGTTCGTCGTCAAGATGGGAAACCATGGAAGAAACGTTTGAGACCAACTTCGATGAAGGCGACTCCCACGCCTGGTTGGGAGATGGATTTGATGAAGAGGAAGAAGCGCAGGAGCAAGAGTTCGATTATCTTGAAGACGAAGAAGAAGCCATTGCCTTGAACGCAATGTTGGACATCGAAGAGGCCGACGATCGTCAAGCAGGAGAAGCTATCCAGCTTCAGCTCGCTGCGTTCAAAGCATTCGGCAAGGCCAAAGGCAAAGGTAAAGGCAAAGGTTTTGGCAAGAAAGGTTTCACAGGCAAAGGCAAAGGCAAGGTTGTCCGCAGCCAGACGAGCATTGAGCAACGTCGCGCCAAGCTTCGTGAATTGAAGTCCAAGTCAAAGTGTCTTCGTTGCGGAGGCATGGGACATTGGGCAGGTGATCCTGGTTGCGAGTTTGCAAACAAGCCACAACCCCCGAAGCCTACTGCCAACCTAGCCTATGAGAGTGAACCATCAGATGGTGAAGGGTTTATTATGTAGGTGCAGCCACATCTGCCGAGCAGAACAATGCAGCCGTGATGGCGTTTCGATCAGGAGCATCCGGTAAGGGTTCACGTCCCCGTCCGTCGCAGGCACAGTTGTCCATGGTTCGTGCAAACGATGCCACATCGTCCGACTCAGGCACCCGAGTGACTCCGTCGTCGGTCGAGCGCCCCATGGGATTCGACAATGTGTTTCAGATTGGACAGTTCAAGGGGAAGACCTATTGGGATGTTCTGCGTCGACAACCCCAATTCTATGTATGGGCAAAGAAGGAAGATTCTCGTGTCCCCGGAATCCAGCAGTATGTGCAATGGGTTGACCAGTTCTTTGAGTTCAGGGGTGGAGAGATTTACCCGGTATTGCCCGGTAGCGCCAAGAAAGGCACAGCCAAGAGCTGCCAGGAGTTGAGGGAGCACGATCTGTCGCGCGTGTTTGCGTCGTGGGCATTCATCCACCGAGAAAAGGGAAGAGAAATCCAAATACAAGCCTGAAGATTGTCTGCTTGAATCCACCGATAACAGGGGATCTAGCCGTTCGACTCATCGCGTGTGGTGCAAGCAATGTTGTTCGTTCATTGATGAACTGCCAATGGAACTACGCCGTGAGCGAATTGCCTTGGCAAAAGCTGTTGAGACAACGACCCAAGACAAGGTTAGCCTCATTGAAGCCATCACTCGAGATGATCAAGAGATGTTTTGACCCCAGAAACGGTAGGTAGAATCTTGGGCATTTTCAGCGGTCTGGTTGAGTCGGAATGCTCGTCGTCGCCTGACACCCTGACCCAGACTCGACTTGATGAACTACTGCAAGAAGCCGCGTTCCAAGACCAGATCATGTTGGAGCAGGACCCAATCAGTGATGAGATTGCCTGGCGCCTTCGGGACCCCGAACACATAGGTTACGCTGCCGTCGAGACCAGTGCATTTGTGTTCCATTCGGAAGTGCGTTCGTCGAGCGTGAGCAATGGATACCCCCAACAAGAAACCAGAGACATGTGGTGCGAGAGTGACCCCAACGTCTTCGCCATTTTGGACGAGGGTTGCAACAGCGCCTGCCATTCGCAATGCTGGATGGAGAAGGCAGAAGCCAAATTCAAGCAATTGGGCTATGAAGTAGGCTGGGCATCAAAAGAGGGCAAGGTTTTCTCAGGTCTTGGGAGTCAAGGAAACAAGGCCCAAGGTTGCA